AAGGTCATCCTTTTTCCGTTGGTTCACCCTCCTCCAATGGCTGCTGCGGCCAGTGCACCGCGCTGATACGAAGCCAGGAGCCAGGTGCTTCTCCTGGTCTCCCATGGGGTGCAGGGCCCAAGCACTTGGGCCATCCTCCACTGCACTCCCTGGCCACAGCAGAGAGCTGGCCTGGAAGAGGAGCAACCGGGACAGAATCCAGCGCCCTGACCGGGACTAGAACCTGGTGTGCTGGCGCCACAGGCAGAGGATTAGCCTATTGAGCCACGGCACTGGCCTGTAATATGCATTTTCATGAACTTTTTGAAGAGCTCTCATATACCCAATTCACAGGTGCTTTTCTTTTCTATTTTTTTTTTTAATACCTATTTAGGACTGCCTAACAGCAGCATGTGACTCAAGGTGTCTCCTCATAACCAACTTGATTTTTGTAGGGATTCTGGGCATGTTCCCTTCTCCTCTGGGACAGGTCATTTTCCCTTTGTCCCATTCCTGCGTCCAACACAATTATCTATTATGTAGCATTCATATTGGCCCAGCCAGTTCATGGGCCAAACTGGTGATGTGGCCTCAGTCTCTCCACTGCCAACTTTTGATACTGTTGTTTCTCACTTACAATAAATGTAATAGTATTGTGGAAAAAGATTTTTTAAAAGCATAAAACCCAGGAAAAACTTAAACACATCTATAATCCAACCTCTCAGAGTTAGTATATTCTTTGCAGTCATTTAAAAAATCTTTTTAGATTTATATATACAATTTTATATATCACTCTTTTCACTTAACATTACAAGCATTTTGCCATGCTGTCAAATGCTCTTCATAACCATCAATTATAATGACTGCATAATAGTCCATTGTATAGTCACACTGTAATTTATTTAACCAATTTTCTACCGTTGGACTTTTGGATTGTTAAGTATAAATTTTGCCCACATTTTAGACTGTTTCTTTAGGATGGATTCCCAGAAGTGGAATTAGAGGATCAGAGGATATAAACATTTTTAAAGCTCCTAATAGATACTGCCAAATTGCTTTTTCTGAAAGCTGTTGCCAATCTACACTTCCAACATTGCCAGCTTGTTTTTCTACCAACATAGATCTGTCTCAAGAATAATAAAACTTCAAGTAGAACATATAGTCCTCAAATTATTAATGCAGTTGGACAGGCATCATGACTGCAGCATGAAGGCATGCGGCAGAGGTCATACCTATTTCCAGGTACGCAGCGAACAATGAGTTAGTGTGAGCACATGGGACAGAAGTTTTGCAAGAGCGAAGAGCAACGTAATTAGATGTCCGACTCTGAAATCCAAGGTCTGTGTCTGTTTTGTTCACTGCACACAGGACAGTGCTTGGCACATATAGTCAGTCAAAAAACATTTGTTGAGTGAATTAACACAGAATCTTTTTTCCTATGGTCTTTCAGCAGCTGTAGAGTTAGTTACTCCGAGGTCAAGGGAAACATGGGTGGTGGGGTCAGACTCCGTTGTAAAGGTCTGTTCAATCCTGAGATTCCATTACAATTTTGGAAAATCAGATTAAATGATGCTGACACAACCAAACTCTCTTTAAGGGAAAAATAAATGTGCTTACCTATTAACAGCACCAGTTACAAGGAGCTGTTAATATATGTGTGCATATATACACACACACATATATATGTATATGTGTGTATATATGTATAAACACACACACAAGTATAATTTTTTATAAGCACGAAAAAATACACTTCAGTGAGTTTTGTAACTTCATAGTAAACACTTAAATAGGTGACAACATAAATTTATTCAAATGCTGTCCATGGGAAGGCATTTTTGGAACTACTTGTGGTTCATTCTATTACTGCTGGCTGCAATTTGGCACCATTTTCAGTACTGCCAAATTGGTTCTGAGATATTACATGGGAACAACACGGATGATAGTTTGAGTCATATCAGTTTTAGTCAAAAACAGCACAAAATTCATTTTGTGATGTGGAACACAGGCAAGGTGAAATAGCCAATCATTCAGTTCTAATTTACTCTCTCCCCATAAATAGTCCCTCCAATATTGCACAATTTCTACATTGTGAGACACTGCCAGATCAATTTGGCATTAACAATATTGATGGAAAATGATCAATCATCTGTCATTTTTAGATACACATTTTATGTATACTAGATCAGGGGTTGGCAAACTATGGCCCATGGGCCAAACTGGAGCCACCATCAGTTTTTGTTAACAGCCTGCAAGTTAAGCATGCTTTTTACCTTTTTTAATGGTTGAAAAATTATCAAAATAGTATTTTGCAAGCTGTATGAAATTCACATTCCAATATCCAATCATAAAGTTTTACTGGAACACGCTCATGCTCACCTGTTTCTGCATTAGCTATGTCTGCCAAGCGGCTGCAACAGAGACCACAAGGTCACAAAGCCTACATTTACTTTACAGAAGTCTGCAGACCCCTGCACTAGTGGGTCCTGGGAGGCCCTGAAGCTCCCCACTCTAGATTTTTGTTTCTGGTTATTAATGCTAGGAGAGAGTGATCAATTGGGTAATACTTGCAAGGATCTGATAGGCAGAGATTTACTTTACAGAAAACATAAATATAGGAGGGCTGCTTTGAATAGGATGTAAAGGCCCGGTAAAATCTGGGAAAGCTGAAGAAGCAGTTGGAGTTCAAAGTAGTGTATAGCTCAGCCACAAAGTCGAAGGCTCTTTCATCTGAGCCCCATGGACCCTGACAATGACAATGCCAGTGAACCTCAGATACGCTGGTGACAATGTCTGCAAACAGCAGGCCGGCTGAGCAGCGTATGCAATGCAGCAGCAGTCCCCTCCTTTCCCTGGTGTCCTCAAGTCACGTAGCATTTGGACTTATCCAGGCATGTCCAATGGCAAGTCTGGACTTCGACTGGAAATACATCTGGAAGGAAGGCTCTCGAAAGTAGGCCCTATGTACACATTCTTGCCAAATAATGGCGTTTCAGTGAGAACTGAGAGGCAGCAGAATTCAGAAGACTGCAGAACCACCCATGTGTTTTTCTAAGTCAAAGATTCAATGAACATTCAATTTTTTCTGTTTCTGATCATTATTAGAAACAAGGTGAGGAAGTGTGATGGGAGGGGGGAATTAGATAAAATCAATTAAATCAATGTTCTAGATGTCTATTACAGTTCAGTCATGTTCCACAACATCACATGTGGATTTTGAACTGGAATGAGATGAGCGGGGGCGCAGGAAAGAGCAAGTGGAAAACGGAAGGGATTCATGGATGGATTATGTGAAGCTTGAGAATTATGGTCCAGGACTGAAGGAGGTCAGTTCTCTTCCTGCTGAACCAAAGGGACAGGCAGTGAGGTGGCCCTCATCCTGTCACGAAAAACACAGTTCCCAGAATGGGATCTGGTTGTTATAGCTCTCAGTATAAGAGGTAATTCAATTGCTTCCCTGAGAAACTGGTAACCCTGCTTGCCTCTGGGGGTGCAACTGATGGTAGCTAAGGTGGGAGGGAGGTTTCTCCTCCATTTGTGCCTTATGAAAAGCAAGAACAAGAACCATCACCTCCCCATGCATCTCACCTCACTCCTTGAGATAGGAAGGTAACACAGGACCAGGGCTGGAGAAGACTGGTTACTCAGTGGCTCAAGTAGGGAGCTAGAAGCCTCCAAACAAGGGGAAGAGTTTCAGGTCGAGTGGTGGACCATGACTAAAAGGGCAACTCAAGGATCCGCACACCATAGGGGACCAACGCAGCTCTTGGAGGAGGAGTCCAAAACCAGAAAAGCAAACACCAAGGCAGAGAAGACACCGAGAGGCATCTGAGAAGGGCCAAGGGCAACAGTCTGTGGTGTGATGCATGCTGGATCTAACAGGCTACAGGCCAGGAGCTCAAGAGGCCTGAACAGAAGGTGCAGATCAGGGCAAAATCAAGGTCAGCAACATGGTGGGCAAGTAAGCACCATTCTGTAAGAATCCTCCTGTTTAGGAGCTCACGTTCTAGCTCGGGTTTACTGATTCTGAGCAGCCAGGTGTGAATGGTTTGGTCTGGACAACTGTCACAGCGATTACTTTATTTCCCCTAAGTCTGAGGCATCCTATCACTGCTGGGAAGCCTGACAAATGAGCCACGCCGTGAGCTAATGTAATGCATTAGGTCCTTCTTTTAGCCATTTAGGACAACTCGAATTCACATTCCTAATTACCTGCTTCCGGCTGCTGTGTTCAAACTCTACTAGGGCCATTGTTGCTCCAATACCTATCCTCCAACAAGGGTCTTGGGCCAGCAGTATTGGCAGTCACTCCAGCCCTGTTCATAAGACTGGAAGACAATCTAGAAATAATATCTCTCAAGACCTCTGTGTAATGATAGACTGGAGATAATACCTGCAGGTATTGTTCTGGGATCTTGGCCTGAGCCCAGGAGCATACAAATTTGCAATAGTGACCACCATGCCTGAGCCTTATTAACAAGATTCAGCAACAAAGCTGCAATAGCTATGGGCGGGGGCTGCATTCCCAAAGTGCAGGGTCCTTGGAGGCAAGTGTTTGTGGAGAAACCAGGGTCTCACTTGATGTGGGTAGACAGTAATGTTTGGTATGGAATGTTTAGGATTCCTAAATAGCTATAAAGTTATAAGCTGTGGCATGGTTTAAGAGTTGTTTGTTTTTTTTTTTCAACACAGTATTTTTCTTTTGTGGTACAAGGTCTAGATTTCAAGGTGTTTCAAAACTGACTGGTATTAATGAGGAACTTGTAATATTTTTAATGCAGTAGAGCGTGAAAGAGCAGTTCTAAAAATAACAATGTTGAACTTGGATTAGGTCTCTACTATCAACCCATATTATTTACTCCTCTATTAGTTAAATAAGAGAAGATGAAATGTGCAAAAAACCCTTGAGTAAAACAGACACAGGCCCACGCTGGGACATCCCGTTACCTCCACACCTTCCTCCTGCACCCCTACCAGGTTTTGAGTCTTTTTCACTCTGTGTGGTATAACTTGGAACCCACCTGGAAGAAGTTCCTTTCTATAAATCCTGGTAGGAAGGCAGAAATGAAAGAGGTAAGAGCTTGAACTTATAGTTTCTTGGGTTCCACAGAAAAATCATATAATCAAGTTAGTGGGTTAATAACCTACTCACAGCCTCAGAGGAAGCAATTTGCAAACCACTGGCACAGACTTGGAGAAACAGCAAATTATCCCCAATTGCACATCTTCTGCAACACCATTATCTTCCCCTTGGCACTTTGCTATTTTAGTTAATGGAGTCATTATTTTCTACTGATGCAGGTTCAAAGTCTCACGCTGTTCCACCTGCTGTGAAGATTTCATAACCCTGTCTCCCCCTTCCTCATGGATCTGCTACAAAAACCACTTGGCCCGGCCTTACAGTCCCTGATGACCATAATTTCACAGTTCTAAAAACAGCAGGTGCTCAAAATACACCTGGCAATATTGGCTTTAGTTACTAAAAGCAGGCTGCTGGGCGGGAACTGGCACGTGGGTAGCAGACTCCCTTAATTCACAGTCTGTAGAGCGCCACTTGGTCTTCCTGCCTACACATCACAGCCCAGCCCTAGGGCCACTGGTTTGTATTTTCTGGAACCAGATTCTTCTCTTATGGCAAAAGGAATACCCAAGTGAGTGAGGATCCAAAGCATAGAACGAGGATGAAACAGATGCAGTCCTTCTGAGGGGCAGGTTGGTGGCCAACCCTTGAGGTCTGAGGGGCTCCACTGAGTCATCTGGGCCCCATCAGCCCTCACACCCAGAGGCACTCACTTTGTCAGCACGCCAGTGGCTTGTACACGGTACATCGGGCCCTGAATGTGAAGCAGGCTGAAACCATAGGCCTTCTTGTGGGATCTTCCCAGAAAAGCATGCCTCCCTGGGCACAGAGGGGCAGACTCCGGGGAGATGCTGTTCCCACTTCTCACGGGCATGATTCCCTGAGGCAGACTGTTGAGTACAAAGGAACAGGATCATCACAAACAATCCAAGGTCTGGGCAGGGAGATCCAAACTCTTGTTAAGCCAAAGAATTCCGCCATCAGCAAGTCCTGGGAGTCAGCAGCCAAACATTCTTGCAAGTTGTGGAGAGCAGCAAGGGAGAGAGTCCCACCAGGGAGCCAAGAGTAAGCGGCAGAGGAAGCCACGCAGGGAGGAGGAGCGGAGGGGACAGGGTGCCCGATGAAGACAGGAGGCAGCTTCCCTTCACCACGGTGTGGGTGTGAACACGCCTGAGCCGCCCTGGTGGGCAGCCTTGTTGAGACGAAGCCTGCAGAAGCCGGCTGGCGGGGGAACGGATCCTTGGCCAGTATGCCGGCAGAGGACCCCGTGCTTCACAACGTACTACCCCCTTCCTCACACATGAGCTGTTTTCCTAGTTTCCTTTGGAAAAGCAGCCCGAAAGTCAAGTGTTCGAGGTTTCGGGGCATCCTTCAAAACACCCGTTAAACTTTCCCAGAAACCTTCCTCATGTTCAAGTTCTCTTTCAAAATGAGCCTAACGGTTTCCTTATCTAAATGCAACTCCTCCGCCATCATCCTCACGGTTAACTGCCGGTTTGAATGAACCAGGTCCTTGACTTTCCGGATGTTTTCTTCGGTCCGGTGCGTGACTGGGCGGCCACTCCGGGCGTCGTCTCGAACATCTTCCCGCCCTTCCTTAAATCTTTTGTGCCAGTCAAAAATGCGGGCCCTTGACATGACTTCGTCCCCATAAGCTTCTTTGAGAAGATGGTGGGTCTCACTTGCGGACTTGTCCAATTTCACGCAAAATTTTATACTAATCCTTTGTTCCAAATAGCGATCACTCATGTTGGCACGAAGCAACACAGGGACGTTCACGAGGCACGATTGTGAGGGGAAGTCAGAGGGATCTCTATAGGGCTGCAGGGGTAACCATATTCTCGCTCCTCTGCACGCCTCGCGAGGAAGCAGTAACTGCTTTACAGAGTTTTCGCGCCCCACAGCTTCCAGTGGGGGCTAGGGAGCCACGTTCGGCAAGCTAACGAGGTCAACGAGTAACTGCAAGAGCTGGGAAAAATTAAATCTCCACCCGGTGCACGCAAATGGCCGGGAGTTCGCCAGTCACCAATGTCGTCCCGATTCCGCGGCCCTTCGGTGTCTGTGGCGATTTCTGCAATACAAGCCCAGGTGGTGGCAACCATACTAAACAAGAAGAGCTGCAAAAACGGTGGCGGGACGCGCAAGCTCGCCCCAGATCTGCACTACTCAGCGCAGGGCAAACCCACCGCGGAAATCTCAGGTTCGCCTGCTTTAGAGGACTCGGAGCCAGGCGCGCGTGCGCAACTCCCTCCCTCTCGCGGGGGAAGTTGTGCGCAGGCGCACTGCAGCCGTCCGCGCCAGGCCCCTCCTTTGCTTCGCCACACCCCGCAGGCGCGCTTCCTTGCGCGTGCCCGCTGCGGAGACGGCGGCGGAAAGGAGGGGCGGGGGAGGAAGGTTGAGGGAAGAGAGGGCACCCCCGGGCGCCAGAGTGCATTGTGGGAAGGAGGCGGCAGCGTCCCGGGCGGGCGGGAGGTGCACCAGCGGCGGCGGCGGCGGTAAATCCTCCAGGCCGCTCACAGCACTGTGGAGCCGCGTCCCCAGCCCGGCCTCGGACCGCGGCGCCCCTCCTGCCCCTCGCGGCTCCTCGCCCGCCCGCCCCTCCCCCGCGCGCCGGCCTTGCCGAGCCGGCCGGCCGGCCTGGCTCCCCTCCCCGGCCCCGACGGCCGGCGGGGCTGCCCCTGAGGAGGCGGTTAGGGTAGGACTGAGCCCGCCCGGCGGGGCAGGCGACGATGCCGAACTTCTGCGCGGCCCCTAACTGCACGCGGAAGAGCACGCAGTCGGATCTGGCCTTCTTCAGGTTCCCGCGGGATCCGGCCAGGTAAGCGGCGGTGGGGAGCCGGCGGCCGGGGCCCACCTCCGCCGTGCGCACTGCCGGTCCCAGCCCCCGGGCAGGTTCGGGCACCGTCGGGGGCGCAGCTGTGCGGCCGTGGACCCCGCCTGGGGCCGAGGTGGGACCGGGCGGCGAGTCGTGGGCGGGCCGGCCTGCGGGCGCCGGGGGACTGGGAGCACGTGCGCCGGCGGGGCTCGGCGCGGAGGGCACGGCCGACGGACACTGCAGCAGGGCGGCGCGCCCTGGTTCCCGCGCCGTGTGACCTCGGGCAAGTCGCTTTCGCCTCTGGGCTGTAATGGGCTTAGCTGTCAAACGAGGGATCTGGGCTCCACGGTAGTGGTTGCGGCGGCCCTTGCCTCGCCACCACCCCGGGCGGTGTATGAGCCCTGCCGCCTGGGATTTCAAGTCCGGTCACCCCTGTACCACCTTTCCAGCTTGTCAGTGCACCGTTCAAATTCTGGCTCTGACCACTGCGCACTTGGTGATTGTGGGGACGGCACAACATAGGGGTACACGTGAGGGCCTGGGGATCGGTCTTGAAACCGCTCCCTGGAGGAAAGCTGACTCCTCGTATTTAGGGTGGGACGGCGTAGGGAACTGTGTGTGAAAGACTGGGGGTGTTTCCTAGGTCTCTTGTGGGCTCATCTATTTAAAATGGGTGCCTACTATGTGCCAGGCATTAGGGTAGAGGTGCTGGGAAATCGGAGGGGTCATTTTCTGCAGAAAACTCACAATCCATTACGGTGAGCAGGCGATTATATTAGGACACTCCTTATTAGCTCAGCATGTAATTATTGAAGGCCTACTGTGTGCTGGGCCTTGTTCTGAACGCGGCGGGGTGCTGATGAATAAATTAAGACCCCTGTTCTGGAGATTGCATTCTAGTGAGGGGATATAGGTAAGTAAAGTACGTAGTGCGCTAGATGGTAAATACTGCACAGGAAATAAAGCGGAGGTTGGAGGGTAGGGGGTAAGTAGGAGCAGGGGAAGTGCCGTTGATATTGAAGTGGGTGATCAGACAGGCCTCGCTAAACAGGTCAGTGTGAGCAAAGACCCTCAGATGAGGGGGCCAGCCATGGAGATGTCTGTGATACCCCACTTAGGAGACAGTGAAGGCAAGGCAGACTAGAAAGGGTGTGTGGGAGGGGCAGACCTCATAGTGGATTGTGGTCCTTGGGAAGAAAGCACTGCGCGTTCTGAGCGAGCTGGGACATCAAGGAAGGGTTCAGAGCAGAGAAACTACACCGGATCACTGCTTGGCAGTTAGACTGCAGGGCGGCAAAGGTGAAAGCAGGAAGAGCTGTTGAGGGCTGTCGTAATAGTCCAGATTGGTAGAGGAGGAGCTGGTAAGTTGTTGTCTTTGAGATGTGGTTTGAAGGTGAAGCAACCAGGGTTTGCCAATGCGGTGCTTATAGATTGTAAGAGCAAAAAAGGAGTCAAAGATGACGTTAAGATTTTGAGCAGTGACCATTCAGCCTAGTCCCACATTGACGGACCTGGGCCTGATACCCAGCTGCAGCTCCTGACTCCACCCTCCCGCTAATGCAGACCCTGGGAGGCAGTGGTGGTGGCTCCAGAGGTTGAGTTCCTGCCGCCCGCGCAGGTTATGTTCCTGTCTCTTGGCTGCACCTGGCCTGGCCCAGCTCCTGTCATTGGAGCATTTGGGGGTAAACCATCTGATGGGAATGGTCCCTCTTTGTCTCTCTCTCTGTCCTCCCTCCTCCAATAAAATAATAATAAAAGAGTTTTTAGCCTGAGCATTTACTGATACTGAGGAGACTGGGGAGAGAGCAGATTTGATGGACAGACTTGTGAAAATTTGATTTGGGACTTGTGAAGTTTCAGAAGCCTGATAGACATTCAAGAATAGATGTCTGTCTTCGTATCGTATGCAGAAATGAACTCCAAATGGCTTATATTTAGAAACATGAAAAATATGAGAGCTAAAACCATTCCACTCTTAGGGGAAAAAATGGGTAAATCTTAATGATCTTGGATTTGGCAGCAGATTCTTAGGTGTGAAACTAAAAACACATACAATAAAAGGAGAAATAGATGAATTGACATCATCAAAATTAAACTTCTGTGTATCAAAGGACATTACCAAGAAAATGAAAAGAATGGAAGAAAATATTGACAAGTAATACAACTATAATCTAATAACTAGAATATATAAAGAATTACTACACTTCTGTAACAGAAAGACAACTCGATTTAAAAGTGGGAAAAGAACTAAAGTAGATATTTTTCCAAAAAAAAGATACAAATTGCTGGCAACCCCATGTGTCATTCACTATTAGGGAAATTCAGGGAAAACCACAAGATGTGGCAATTGAACATAGAATTATGTAAGACCCAGTAATTCTATTTCTAGGTATATATCCAAAAGATTCCAAACTAGAATCAAAAAAGCAAGTGTACACCCATTTTTAACAGCACTAGTCACAGCTGTCAAAAGATGGGAACAACCCAAAGTCTGTGCATAAATGTATAAGCAAAATGTATATCTATACAATGGTATATTCTGCCGAAAAAGGAATAAAGTACTGATAACACTCCACAATGAAGGTTAACCTTGAAAACATGTGAAGTGAAAGAAATCAGTTACCAAAAAACCATGTGTCATATTATTCCACTTATGAAATACTCATGGTAGGTACAGAAAACAGATGTGTGGTTGACACAGCCTGGAGCAAAGGGAGAATGGAGAAGAGTGTATTAATGTGCACAGGGTTTCCTTTCAGGGTGCTGAAAATGTGTTGGACTAGTGCTGATGATGTACAGCATTTTGAATATATCAGTTGCCACTCAAGTTTTCATGCAGAAATGGTAATTTTGTGTTATAAGAATTTTACCTGTTTTAAAAAAAATAATTGTGGACATTTGACCCATTTGGAAGTGCCTGGGTTTGATTGCTGGCTCCAACTCCAAATTCCTGCTTCCTGCAAATGCAGACCATGGGAGGCAGCTGGTGTTAATTCAAGATTTGGGGCCCTGTCACCCGCGTGGAAGACTTGGATTGAGTTCCGGCTCTGCCCTGGCCCAGCCCTGGCTGCAGGCAGTTGGTTAGTAAACTAGTAGGTGGGATCTCTCTGCCTATCACAACTATAAACACAAAAAAGATGTCTTGACTAGGCAGTCAGGATTCAGAGACTAACACATCAGGCTGCGGGGTTTTTCAGTTTACAGTGGGTACTTCAAGTCACTGCCGGCTGTAAGGAGTGAGGATTGAGCCTTGGGGCAGTCAGAGTGGTTAATGTTGGGAGTTGAGGGACTAGTTCAGGAGAGGAAGGAATAGTCTTTATTCTGGCTATTAGATCCTTATCAGCTGCTCTTGCAAATACTCTTTTCATTTTCTTTGTAATGGCCTTTAATACACAAAGGTTTAACTTTGATAATGTCTAGTTCATCGGGAGAGTAAGAAATAGCTGGCAAAGAAGAGAAGTATTACCCCACTAAGCATTATCTCCTTTTTACCCAAATTTTAGTTCAAGGTCATTTTAAAATAAATATTCCTTGCTATTTTAAGAATATAGAATTTTTAAAAAATTTTTACTTATTTATTTTCATCTACTTGAAAGGCAGAGGCAGAGAGAGTGCTCGTATTACCTTCCATTTACTGGTTCACTCCCCAAATGCAGGGCAGGGCCCTTCAGAAGACAGAAACCAGGAACTTGGAACTCCGTCTGGGTCTCCTATGTGTCTGTCAGGGGCCCAAGCACTTGAGCCATCATCCGCAGCCTCTCTGGTTGTATTAACAGGAAGCTGGATCAGAAGTAGAGCAATTGGGACTCAAACTGGCGCTCCAATGTGGGAAGTGTGCATTGCAAGCAGTGGCTAAACCTGCTACACCACAACATCTGCCCCCGGGGTCATTCTTATATCTTACTTCACTTGCGTAACAAAGGGCACCGCTAGTCAGTTTTGAGCCACAAATTATTTGCTTCAGTATGTCGTGAAATGCACATTTCACTGCACTTGGGATTATGGTCTGTAGAAGCTTACAGTCTCAGATTTGGAAGGACATTTTAGATCTATTACAGTCTCCTTTGAAATGTTGGAATTCCATCAATCATTGTTTTTATTTAACCTTTGTTTTTGGCTCATTGTCCACTTTGAGAATCTAACATAAGACAGAAACCTTACTTGAGAAAAAAGGATACAATTTACGTCCCATCATCAAGATACTTTACAGCCCTCGGAATTCCTCACATGTGGTATCTAAAATGCTTCCAGTGCTTTGTTAGGGCACACCTGAGGATTCTGGGCAGATTTGGCTGTTACTTCCTTTATCTTTTTTTAAAGATTTATTTGTTTATTTTAAAGTCAGAGTTAGAGAGAGAGAGAGGTCTTCCATCCGCTGGTTCACTCCCCAGATGACCACAACGGCCAGAACTGTGCCGATCCGAAGCCACGAGCCATGTTCAGGCTCTATACACTTGCCTGTTTAAGGTACCTCACAAAAGTGGACTAATACTGCATTTGGCCTTTGATGACTGGCTTATTTTACTTAGTGGGTCTTCTAGGTAACCTTTTATCCAAACCAGATTTCCTATTGCTATTATTGAGTTCTATTGTATTTGACAGTTTCCTCTTCCCTGTGCCTAGAGTTAATTATAACAAAGAAGTAGTTTCCAAAGATGTTTATTGAATTAATAACAGTACTTTAAGGGTTATTGGTTATAACCCAATTTCTTTTTCTGTAATTGAATTGCAGGGAAAGT